ATGAAACACTGTTGTATGACCAGAGCAGAGCCACAGCATTCTGTTTTACTGTCCAGCTCTGAAATGATCCTCTGACCTGCAATCTGCTTTGAAAAACTTTGACAGATAAAAAAATATTGAGTAAGTCTTCAGTTTTGAAAAAATGTATTTCTCAACCTTCACATAAAAAAAAAAGAGAAAAACTTTTGCCACCAAGGAAGTCTATTTCTGTTAGTGCTCAGTATAGACAGATACCACATCTCACACTGTTTTCTGTAATGCTTAAGATGAAGGACTTGATTTCATAAACATAAATGCTATGAGTAAGTAATCTGTCTGGTGCTAGAGATATAATTGTATTTTTTTTCTGTTCAGGCAATAGTTAAAACATTCAAATCAATTGTATTCACTATGAAGACACACATATTTCAACCAATGATTTAATTCTATGAAGCTAAGACCAGAGCCCTGTGTACTATTAATTTCAAAGGAATTCATAAATATGTAGCAAATTAAATTATGTGTCTTAGAAATGTTAAAATAAAATTAAACTGACAGTACGGTAAGGTGAGACACTCCACAGAGACAACTGCTAAGGAAACTTTAAAACCTTATAATTATTGTCACAATATTTTCTGAGCATATACAAATAAGTGGGTCTTCAACTTAAGTTTATTTGAAAAATTATCTGATTTTGTTTTAAATGGAGAGTATGTTTTAAGTGCTTTCATAGGTGAAATGTTGAGTCCAAATATAGCAACTGTCCTTCAAAAGAATGAGGTTAAGGAAGACAAACCAGGGCAAATTTGTCGTCTGAAGAATGAGACAACTGTAAATTCTCTCAGGCTGTGACAAAGAGAGAAGAGGGGTGCTACCGTCCCCAGCAGCCACAGCTATGCCGCAGCCCTCCTCCGCAAAGTGGGTCAAGACAGCGGGCTAGCTGACAGGACTCCAACGGTCCCATTGTGTCTTAACTCTCTGAACTTCCTTATTCCTAGACAACTTGGCCTTTCCCAGTAATAAATGTCACCTTCTGCCTTATAGTTAGTAACAAGTATAAGTAACTAGGGCTTGAAACAACTCCCAGCGTAAAGATTTTTTTTTTTTTTGAATTTTACTTATTTATTTATTATTTATTTATTTTTGTGTTTTCAATTTTATTTTGTGAAGGGAGGGAGTCACAAGCATGCCATGCAGAATGCGTGTGCAAGCCAGAGGACAACTTGAGGGAATTGGGGATTTTTTTCATTATTCTGAAGAGCTTATGACATGAATGTGGATTTTTGAACCCAACTACTTTTTAATGGTCACGATGACTGTATTTTATAGATAGATGCTAAAACCCCAAATGTTGTCCTCTAACAATCACTATCAAAAGAGAAAAAAGTATTTGGGGACTTTTTCAAATGTCCCCTGTTCTCTTCCCTGTTGTGTGGCGTGTGGCTGGAGGGCAAAGCCAGCGCGCTCTAGGACCCAGAGGCTCTGGAAGAAAAACAGCCCAAGCAGGACAAAGAATGACTGTGAGTATTCTCTTGGATTGGGCCTATTTGGATGCATGCCTTTTAGTTTTATATAGGAGTTATGGCCCCCAAGGAGGGAGGCCTTAACTAAAATTTAAAAACTGAGTTACTGGTTTGAACAGATACTGGAGGGATAAGAGAAATCAAAGTATACAACTACAAATTTAATTATGCTGTAAAATTTCTACATGCTTTGCCAGATATTAAAAACACTGTTTTCAGGGGAAGCTCTACAAACCCTTCAAATTTAGAATGTTTTCATTGTAACATGATTATTGTGTCCACTACATCTTGAATCATTAATTCAAATATGGTCAGAAACAGTTTGCATGACAATGATATCCTGATCTGTTGAGAAACACATTTTCTACAATAATCCATATACAGCTAGAACATGATACAGTTTTCACACTGTGCTCAGTTGAGACCAGAGTCCTGAGAAGCCCCTCGTGGACCACCATGAGGCAAGGTGGAGGTGGAGGAGAGGGCCACAGGGCCTTCCATCTAGCCTTCAGTCTAACCAGAGCAGCTTGGCTTTTATCAATTGTGTGTCTTACGATTTAGGCAAAGTCTTATTTGAAAAATGGACTCTGCTCTTAAAAAAAAAAAAAAAAGGAAGAAAAGTAAATATTACTCTCACAGCTTAAAAATCTACTGTCTTCCATGCTCAGTCAATATTGTGGTCTACATGCAAACAGACTCCACATGCATAAAGAATAGATTGCACAACCAACATGCTCAGCCAAAGAGGCCGAGTTGGATGAACTCTGAGGCCCTGACAGCTAAATTTAAAGCCAGGGTAACACACTTGCAGAACTGGTGGTCTCTCTTGTTGAAACTATCTCACTAGGCTGGTTGCAAGGATGGTAACCACAGCTTCTGAATGCCAATCCCAGCTGATTTTAAGAGGAGGAAGTGCAGACCAACAGCAAAGTGATCTGGCTCTGGGGTCTGGCTCAGACATATTAAAATCCTTCAGTCCTCAAAAGACCAGGGCTGGCAGAGGCTCTTTTCAGAAAAGTAGCTCAGGCACACAGACCCCTGTGCTGTTTTTGTCCAACTCCCTCAACCCACCAAAGATTACTGTTCTCCTTGAGCTGGCAAAAAATCTTTTGAGAGTCATTTCAAATGTTACCATCTCTCTGAACACTTCCTTCAGACTTTAGGAATCTGTGTGGACCATGGTGTTACCCAGAGGCCTAGGGAGTCTTCTCACTGGCTTGTGCAGCCCTGTGATCTAGTACCATTTAGTGAACGTTGATGAAAGGAATGAGGAAAGGGGAACCCACTTGCAGGAATAGCAAAGGGTACAGAAAGCTGCCCTCTTTTGGAATGGGCTGGCCCCATCTCTTCACCTTTCTGGGTCTTAGATTTAGAAACATACTTATCACAAAGTAAAACCTAAAGATTAGTTATCTCTGAATTCATTTTTTCATTCCTTTAAGAGGCAGCCATATGGAGGTTTCTGTATTTGTGTATTAAATATATATACAAAAAAAGCTTTTAAAGGATTTCCCCAGGAAACAAAAATTTCAATGTTAACTCATGATCGCCCTCTGCTGGAAAAAGGTTGAACAGGTATTTTGGTTGAAAGTGGGTAGTTTTTAATTATAGATAATAAATAAGAAAAAAAAAAGTCTCAAGTTAGAAAGTTGAATTTATAATTTATAAGAGCAAGATTTTGGGGGTATATTAAAAGTATATCCAGAATTTTCTATACTTGCTTCAAGTAGAAACCAATCTGCTTAGACTCCATTATCAAACTTATTTTTAGTGACACTCTGCTAATTTACATCAATAGCACAGGGGAAAGGCTACGTTAGATTCATGCTGTGTAGAAAAGTAGACAAAAAGAAGATATTTCTAAATGGAAGAATTACTTTTTTTTTCAGTACTAAGAAAAATGAAAGATTAAAATTTAATCACAGTTGAGTCCTTTTAGACATGTGACTGGTTGGAGAGAGTAAAGGAGATTACAGCCTTGATTTTAGATTGTTTTATTTTACCACAGGATATTCAAAGGAAAGGTCATGTATAAATATCTTAGGAAGTGGCACAAAAGAGAGCTAGGCATTCATAAACCAATGTATAACAAGCCTCTGGCTGGTGTGTATACCTTTAAGATTGGGGTGCAGGAGTGGGAGGGTCTGGACTCCCACAGAATTAAAGTTAAGTTCAAATATAAGAGGGGAATGTGTAGACATAAATTTACACATTTACATCTCTCTGTATTATATAGAGCATCTAGATATTTTCTTATATATAAATTTAAGGGATACATAATGCAATATAATGCAATTAACAAGCCATCATCCTTAAAGTGATCACAGTGTTCAAAGAAGACAACAGAACACTATCTGGAATTACATGTGGCAACTCCACGTGTCAGAAAAACCACCTGCAGCTAGAACAAGGTATTCCATAGTGCTATATAAAGGGGAGGATGTGGGGAGTGCTGTGGAATGAGGGTGAGTGGAGGGGATCTAGTCCCAGGATGTCTGTGGTATGTGTTGCCTTCCAACACAGGAAGTACTTAGTTTGATAACACAAGGAAAGAGTGTCAGCCTTTACCCACCTATAGGCAAGATCAGGTAAACTGCAGGTCAAAGGCTCACTTGATTCCTTGCTGCACACAAACTAAGACAGCTGAGGGAATCAGGCAACTGGAGGCTACTGTGTAGAGGCTACTGTGTGGAATATCTTAGAGCATAGGGCAGAAGTCTGGCTGATCCTTTCATGAGCTCTTTGATCTTGGTCAAATGACTTGACCTCTCTGTTGCCTTGATTTCTTCATTTTTAAGTAGGGATATTTAGTACCTCAGAGGATTAAGTATGTTAATAGATGAAAGGGCCACCAATAATACTACTTGGCATACAGAAAGTACTAACAAAATATTTGGTATCGTTAATTAAGGATGCAAAGGTTCTTACTAGTGATACAGCTCCAACCACAGAGTATCCATCACCTTCAAGCTGAATAGATTTGGTTTCTTTAACTGTAAAATGAAGACACTGACAGTTCCGACAGATGATAAGGAACAGGGTATGTGAGCACAACACAACAGATGCAGGTCTGAGCACTGACTTTTTATTGGTGAATTATTTAGTGTTCATTATAAATTCACAAATCTGTATCACTTAACATCATACAAACTTGTTAATTCTAAATGCACACCTGTGTGTATGTGCCTGTGTGTGAATGTGCATGTGTGTGTGTATGTGCATGCCCCAGGTCCACAGTGGTGTGAAAGCAATGGAATACAGCGGCAGAGGGATTGCTAGAGTGGTCAAACCATGATGCAGAACTGGAAAGGGCAAAGACCTGTATACAGTAATGCCTAATCCTGGGGTCCTTGCAGCAAAATTTTAGATCATATTAGTACTTATTAAGGCTTAGATCTTGAGAATCAAGAGTAAATCCTATGCTAAAGTACCTTGCTTCTGATACTAATGGTTCCTTGGCACACAGAGAAACCCACTTTTCCTTACTCTACCACGCACCTTTTCGATGAGCTCATAGCTCTCCTCCAGCTTGAGCAGCCTGTTCTGCACAGACGTGGATGCACGGTCATAAACAGCACGCCACTCCTGGAAGTCACTCTCAGAAATCTCTGCCACAGCAAAACACAAAGTTCTCAGCCCTGCAAAAGGCAGCACACCCCAAACAAAAGATTTAGTCCATAGTCTGACATTTTCATTATTTAACAAGCCATTTTGAAAAGTCTTGCTGGGGGTCTGGAGAGATGGCTCAGCAGTTAAGAGCACTGGCTGCTCTTACAGAGGACCCAGGTTCATTTCCCAGCACCTACATGGCGGCTAACAATTGTAACTCCAGTTCCAGGGGATTCGATACCTTCTTCTGACTTCTAGGGGAATTGCACAGCATGGGTGCACTTACACACAGGTAGGCAATACACTCATACACATAAAACAAAAACAATAAAATATTTAAAATATGAAAAAAAGAAAAGTCTCATTGGATTCCAACAATTCACTGATATCCAGTTCAACTCTGACAAAACATCAGTATAAAATGTCTACAGACATTCTCCCTGATTTTAACTTTCATGGCTTGCTTCCAATTCCCAGCCCCTTTAATCCATCCTTCACACCTATGGTGACTTTTCTAAAAGCTCATCTTATCAAGCTGTTCTCCTAGAATCTTCCAGTTGTTCCCCAGGGTGAAGTCCAAACCCAGAGTACAGCTCCCACAACCACACTCTACAGTCCTTGTCTGATGACCTACCAGGGTCTTCCCTCGTGTTGGCCACTCTTTCTCCATTTCACCTTCCTTTCCCCAATACACTTCCACTGTCTGCCCTGCATCTACTTTAAGACTCCACTCTTCAAGTCATTGCTTAGTCCTGTCACTCCCACTCCAGGCAAAAATCCCCAAATACTCCTACAGTGTGATGACAATGTTTCATAGATTTTCTTGTGGCTCTCCTGTATTAGACCGAAGCTCTTCATACTGTAACTATCATGAGCACAGTGGCTGCATCAGGAAAGTGATGTTCTAGTCTATAGTATTGTAAGGAGGGAAGAGAGAGACTCCGGTAGGATCTATGGGAGAGCCACATTCCTCTTACCGGAACATGTAGCTGTATGAATTAATGTTCTTTACCTCTGTAAATCTGTAGTAAAAAAAGACAAAGTATAGTTGAGAGACACACCCTGGGAAAGCAGTCAAGGCTGATGTGTGAGGTGATGCAACCCCAGGTCTCAATGCCTGTCAATTTCAAAACTTGCTTCACAGCTAGAAAAAGGTAGCTGGATTGGGAGACGGGCAGGCAAAGCCCATGTCAGTCATGCAAGGATCGGCCATCTAGCTTGCAAGAAGACAACACCCATTCCAGGTCTTTACTTCTGTTGACTAAGACCAAACACGAGGCCTTGTGATCTCAAGTCCAGTAAAACCTGGTTCTGTGGAACAGGTCAAAAGCAAGAAGCAATGAACACAGAACGTGAAGCGTCCAGAGGACTCTGACAAAGGAGCAGGGCTACTGACTACTGGATTAAGTGGTAGAACTTAAATCTCTGGGGCTATACTATGGCATGTTTTTCTCTTTTTGAAACTTGGCTGGAAAACGTATTTGGGGATAGCAATGGAGTATAAGTGTCCTTCACTGGGGCCGGAAAGCATGGGGTGGAGCTGGGACCAAGTCAATTCAAAATGGAGGAGCCAGGAGTCTCAAATGTTGTCATCTGAGTGGAGGTATCCAGGCATCCAGACCTCCCCCTCTTCACTATAAACTTAACCAAACCCAGCCTGCATGGCCTGTATACTGGGCAGGTGGAACCTGCCACACCCAGCTGAGGGACACACAAGTCTCCAACTTGGAAAAGAGACTCTTTGTGTTCTTGTTTTCCAGAGCATACTTTTCTCTTTTTGGGGGTGTGGGGGGTGGAGTCTGAGGTCTTTAAAAACATTCCCTTTTTTTCTCAGCCTGGATTATAAAGGAACAAGGACTTGATCAGGGGCCAGGCTTGGTGCCATTTGGCAAATGTTCCAGACTAAACGGGAGTGAAAATTGAAATGGAAGATTTAGGCATGCGGTGACTACTGATACCCCATGTAGAGATAAAACTCTGCACACTCTCCTAGTCACTGAACCTAATGCTTAGCCACTCTCACGTCCCTCCACATCTAAGCCACAACATCTCTTGAGACCCTGCACTGCTTGCCGCACACATCACACATTTCAGGAGGACAAATACAAGACCAAGTGTGTTTACCAGGGATTCTGTGGCCTCATACAGAGCCTGGTATGTGGTAGGACTCAATAAAAGTGTTAAGTTATGATATTATAGCATTTTAATAGTCATATAGGTATTTATTTCTTTTTTATGGTTCAGATTAGAATAACTCAGTTCTTTTATTTTTTTCTTAACTAATTCCATGAGACACGAGGTAAACTATTTCCACTTTAAATGATATCCATTCTAATAACTGAGATTTACAAGTTCTACTACCTCAAATGGGAGCCAACTCTCAGCATTTTAATAGAAAACTAAAAACACCCTGTGTGGGAATAGTGTATAGGAATATCTAAGCTATCAACAACAATGAATGTTTCACTTTAGTAATCTCAAAGTAAAATTGTAAATGACCCTGCAGGAAATATCAAAAGTACATGATTTCTTTGTATCTCAGTCAAGTTTTATGTCCACACAATGCTTACCTTCTGTAGCAAACTGCTCTAAATGTTTGAGGGTAATTTCTTTGTACTTTGAAGTCTCTGCAAGTCGTTCATAAATGACTGTGTCCTGATAAATAAGCAGAAGGTATGATATACTTAATTAAGCATTGGGGCTTTTACAAAAAATTAAGGTTGGCAACATTATCAGTACCAAATCTGTATTGAAACATTTAAGTATTTTAAAGCACAAAATAATTCTGTCTATAAGTAACAATAATTTCCTAAAGGCAGGAAGAAAAACAGCTGAGCCTGTTGGCTTTTTATCCATTGATTCAATCAAGCTACAGAGAGAAAATGTAGTTAGGCCTGTAAGGGTTGTGTCTGTGCAGAACACACACACTTTTTCTTGTGATAATTCCCAAAGCAGTATAATAGAACTATTTACATATAATGTTTGCATTGTAGTGGGTATCAGAGGTAATCTGGAATTGGTGGAAAGAACAGAGAAGGTACTGGGCTTGGTGGCACACATTTGTAGTCTTAGCATCTGGGATGTGGAGGCAGGAGGATCAGGAGTTCTGACACCCTTGGCTGTGTAAAATACTGCAAGAGCTCTAATACCTGAAGGTTTTGTAGAATTCTGCAATGTGTTTGGAACTCAGAAAAGACTGGGAAATGCTAGACTGACAAAGATCCTGCCCTGTCCCGTACCCCCAGTGTGGTGGAGTCTCAAGAATCCCGTATGCACCCAAAGTTTGTCCAACCAGAGAACCTTCCAGGGATGAGAATACTTTTAGGGGGCCTGAACTCACAAAGGAACCAACCTGAGGCGACACAGGACTATAAAATGCCCTGGTGGGGACGGCATGAAACACATCTGACAACCTGGAGCTGCCTTAGACAGGTTGCTTCTGGCTACACCACTTTGGCTTTAAGACTCAGTTGGCCCGATCTGTAAAATTTCTGGGTCATTTTTGGCTTTAACTTTATGCACCATTTATGTTTCTCTACTTCTTGCTCCATTATAAATCGCCACTGTTCCCTTAGTTATTCAGTGGCTTTGGATTAATGTTTTTAAGAACTTTAGTATTCACAACTTTTTATTAGACCAGGAAAAAAATAAATCATTTATCTGCAATTACTGTCTCAGTGGCAGTACCCACTTTGGGGTCTCTAGTCTCAGGGCTGAGATTTGGAAGCCAACTAATGGAGTCTGATTTAGGACCCCTGAGAGAAACAGAACAAGTGACCTCATAGCAGATGGAATAGCCCAAGCCCCAATTATGAATCTCTTTTCATTTTTCAGTGGTGGAATGGGAAAGGAAACAAGAAAAGGCAATGATAGTTTCCCCTTATGGTTACTTCCTGGGAAGGAAAATTATAACTTATGAACTCTTTTTTTACAGAGGTTAATAAAAATTTCCATAAAGTTAACAGAGGCCATTTTTCTAACGGAGAAAACTCTGAAAAAAGTAAAAAAAAGAAGGAGGTTAAATTCTGCCATGTCTAAACATACTAGTGGAAGAAACTGGTGCTTAGAATAGGATCAAGTAAGTTTCTTTCTTCTTTGTGGTATTGAGAAAAAGCAAGGGAGAAAATGTACCTTCTGCAGTAAACATGGTTTCAAATGACAGTCACACATGGCTGGTCAGGCTTGCACATGAAAAATACCTAGACAGACACACTTTATTTAGAGGGCTACATTATCAAGTGCCAGGCACATTTTTTTTTTTTTTTTTTTTTTTTTTAGGAGTGAAAGAGGTTCCTCCACAGATACTAGAAGATATATACAACTTCAGGTCAGACTTAGAACTTACGGCAAACCCTCAGGGGATTTAGTTATCATATATCCTGACCCTTAGCAAAGAAAAAGTAGAATATCACAGTGAGCTCTTGAGGATGGTACAGTACAGCCAAATTATGGTCACTGTGTAAGAGCTTAGGGCTTTGAGGAAAGTTAAACTCATGATTAATAATTCATCACTGTTGTATGTTCATTTTAAAGGTGGTGGGATTTTTCTTCTTGTCTTTTACTTTGTTTTTTTGAGGCAGGGTCTCATGTAGCTCAGGCAGGTTTTGAACTCACTATGCAGCTGAGGATGACCCTGAACTCTGATTGTCCTGTTTCTACCTCCGAAATGCTGTGATTACAGGCATGTGCTACCACCCGTGGCTCCTATTTGTTTTTTTAGACTGAATGAAGTTCAAAATTGGCTCTGTATTAAAAAACATATTTGTGTGTGTGTGTGTGTGTGTGTGTGTGTGTGTGTACATGTGTGCAGGTATGTGTGCATGTGTATACATGTCTGTGTGGAGGCCAGAGATCAACCTCTGGTGTCTTTCTTCAGGAGCTGTGCACCTGTTTTAGTGTGGCAGGGTCTCTCACTGGGTCCTGGGGCTTGCCAGTTTGGCAACATGGCTGTCTAGCAGGCCCCAGGGATCCTCCTGTCTCTGCCTCCCCAAAGCTGGGATTACAAGTTTGTGCTGTCATTCTTGTGTTTTTTAATGTGGGTTCTGAGGATGGAACTGAGGTCCTCAGGCTTACATGGCAAGTAGTTTACCTGTTGAGCTACCTCCCCAGCCCTTCCCCAAACACACACACACACACATACACACACACACACACACGCACACACACGCACGCACGCATGCACACACGCATACACACATATTTTAAAGATAAAATAATTGATGCGGTCCTCAATCATCTTGAAATATCATTTATTTAGATTACCACAATTTGATGTTGCCAGATGAAGACTGTGTCATAATATGCAAACATCAGGATTTGGCAGTAGTCTAAAGAAAAGAGGTCTTCCATAATTATTTACTGCAGTTTATGCTGAAATTTTCTGTATTAGTGCACTGTTGTGAAAATAATTTTTCAAAATGAAGTATCATATCCCACTGAGATGGAATGGCAGGGGAAAACACGTAGGTCCCAGATGCTTGCTCCAGGAGACTGATTCCTAGAATCAGTTTGCTGCAACACACCAGGGCTTTAAGACTAATTTTACTTAATAACTGTCAAATGAACAGTCAGCCATGACTTTTCAGACTAACTTTACATATGGACATTTGCCAGCTTCTCCAAGCTGTTCCAAGTAGCAGTGAAATTTCTTTACAAAAGCTTGCACAGATTTATCTTCATAAAATCCCTTCCCGTTTTTTGTTCTTAGGACGTACATGGTGTGTACATCTTGGTTTGCTATTCTACAGTTTTGACTTTTTTTTTTTTTTGAGACAGGGTCTTACACCTTAGTTCAGACTGTTCTGGAATTCATAGTGATTTTCTTTGCCGCAGTTGCCCCAAGTGCTGGGGTGCTAGGCACAGGCCAACATGCTTAGATAGTTTTGCTTGATTTTGACATGGTAAATTAGCCAATTACCATCAATAAATCAGATTCTCTATCAGCAGGTTATACAACTAACCTGCTGCATGGAACTTGGGTCCTCTTGGCTTCGATTGTGTCAAAGGCATGAGACACTTGTATCTATTCATTTAATTATTTGTTTGTGTGTATGTGGATATGTGAATGGGCATGCATCAAGGTGATCATGTGGAGATCAGAGGATAACTTGTTGGGAGTGAGTTCTGTGTTTCTACCATGTGGGTCCTGGGAAACTGAACTCAAGTGGTAAGCTTGGCAGCAAGTGCCCTAACTACTGAGCCAAATCATCAGTCCCTGTCATACTTATATACACAAATATTTTCTACATTAGGTACCATTCAGAATTAACTAAACTTTGCCTCTGATGTAGTGAATTGCTAAGAATAACTAATTTCCTATGTGGTTTGTTTTGTATATGGTACAGGATTTTAAAAGATACCTACTTTGAATTTTCAGTCACTTTAAGGTTCCCAAAGCATTTAAGTGTATTAGTCAAGTTTCTATTTTTTTCTCTTGTATAGAAGTTTTAGAGTAGCGTTCTTGTGTTTTGGTATAAATTTTTGTTTGTATAACTTTACTCAAGTTGGCTACTTTTACAAATATAGTATATACTGTATATGCATCCTATTTTTATTTAAAAACAAAGCAAAATATTTATCATAGAAAATCTTAAAAAAATAGGAAAAAATAAATCATACAAACCTACATAGTCACTATCTCTTTATGCTGTATTTTATGTGGAATTTTCAGTGCTGTCTTCTAACTTTATTCTCAACTCAACTGTATTGAATTTACATCTTATTCTTAAAAAAAATTTAAGATTTCTAATTCATCTTGCATGTATACTAAGTCCCCTTCCCAATTTATTTTTGCTAAAATAGTTCCAATTTCTTTATCATATTGAGATCCCAAACATGCCTTGTCAGAGTGGCCTACACAAATGATCACCTCTGAGGTGAGTTCAGGTTTCTACAGGTAATGTTGCTCACTGTCTCCTCTGGACTGAGATTTCCTCATGGACCTCTGAGCTTTGCTCTGCTCTCTTGGCCTGCATGCAAACCGCATGTTTTAGGATCTCATGCAGAGGCTGGCATGAGCTTTCTTCGCATGATCAGGAAGCTCACCACTTGGCCTTGGTTTTGGGGTATGGAGGCTGCCTGCACCCGAGATTACATTCAGTATTACCTGCTTCCATGGTCCCACAGAATCCAAACTCTAGACACTCCTTGATTTTGAATCTAGAGTCTGTGACTCCTACTTACCCACCCAGCTCAAGGCTTTAGTTCAATGAACCACGCTGATTTGATATTTCTACTGGGCTCAATATATATGCCTTCCTTGTGAGTCTAGATTTATCATTGCCATGACTCTGGACATGGAGTTTCATTATGTAGCCCCAGTTTGGTCTGGAATTTGCTATGACAAGGCTGGCCTCAATCTCACAGAGATGCCCAGTCTCCTGTCTCTTGAATGCTGGGATTAAAGGTGTGTACCACCACGTCCAGCTAGATTTCTTTTAAAAAAGCCTTATTTATTTATTTATTTATTTATTTATTTATTTATTTATTTGTTTGTGTGTGTGTGTGTGCGTGCACGCGCAGCTACCCAGAAAGGCCAGAAGAAGGTGTCAGTTCCCCTGGAGCTGGAGTTACAGACAGTTGTGAACTGCCAAATGTGGGTGCCAGGAACTGAGCAGGTTCCCTGGAAGAGCAGCAAGTGCTCTTAACTATTGAGCCATTTCTCTAGCCCATTCCACCCAGATTTCTTTCCCCATGAAACCCAGGCTTCTGTACCTGATGACCCCTGTGTAGCTCCCAACTCTCTATCTTGCTAAGTGCTATTGGCTCACTCACTAAGTCAAGCAGAAGTGACCCTAGATAACCCTTTCCCTCCGCACCTGTGAACAGGCAATTACTAAGTCCTAAATCTTTCTCCCCAGTCTTGTCTGTGTCTATCTCCATCCTTCCTAGCAACTTTTGAAAGAGTTGGTAAGGTCCAACTGGAAGCTCTGTGTGCATCTGTTTTCAGCCTTGAACCATCTTTTGAAATCTCAACAGAATGATCAAGAAAAAAGTATAGTTGTTGAGCACAGGGATTAGGGTTGGGGCACAAACTCAACCCAATCCAACCAAAATGACCATCTTTACCCAAATGCAAGTCCTACCCACCTTTCTGCCTGCCCTATATTCAGCTATTTGATTTAAAGTTTCTTTTTATTCTCTTACTGTGTATGATACCATAGGAACGTGGAAGATCTGTACCATGCACTTTGCATTGCATCCTAATCTTTATTTGTATTTCTTTGGCTAGTCCTAGCTCCTGACACGACTTAGGTCTTATCTTCATATCTCTAAAATCCGGTTCGAAGTCTGGTGATAAAATGTTCACAGTGAATATATGTGAGGTGTTTGAATTAATGGGCACACAAAAACAAAGGAACTGTATAACTAACTCAAGAGACATGAAATAATTCTACCAAAGTGCTCTAAAACCAATGGCATTCAAATAACGTCGCAGTGTTTTAAAACCAAGGCATTCATCATTATGAACAGAAATTTAAATAAAGGGTTTGGCCTTCATAACTTTAGTTTCCTAGTTTCCAAGGAATAGAGCAAAGTTATTGATTCTATTTAAAGTAGTAAAATTCCCAGCTGGGGAATGTACAAAGTCCTTACCAGGAAAGGGCAACTCAAGAGGATTTTAACAACAGTAAGAAAAGGGCCCTGGTTGGTAGGTTTCTCATTTTCCTGAGTATAAACATATTTTAACTAGGAAAATTCAATTAGAATGCATAATAATATTTATGCCACTATAATCTACCAATATCCTGAAGCCAACCAATAATCAGAAATTTCTGTTGTAAGTAAAACAAGACAAATGGCCATCACCAAACAAGAAATTACAGCAATAATTGTGAGCCAATTCTGCCCCCATTTCCTCAGTCCTTAAACAAGTATATTAAAATTGTACTGTATCATTACATTCTAATACAATCTAAAAATTTCTGTATTTAGTCATATGTTAACATAGTTTATATAAAATAAACCTCAAATATTATGCATTAAAAATTGAATTAAGAAAGTAACCTATGCCAAACTTTTTCAGTGCACCAAATTTACCCAGAAGGAATTTCACATTTCACCAGAAGAGGCTGAATGCTATTAATATAAAACACCAGAAAAAGTGGATGTCAGCAACTTCATGTTAAACATCTGTGTTATATTTCCATAGCAGCATGCTTAACATGTATATCATAAACCATCATAAATCAGAACTGTAAAAGACAAAAATAAAAACTTACAGCTCCTTTGCAGTAAAGCCGTAACTTCCCAGATGGAGTGCGAACAATCACTGACATTCTTTTCCTAGCACTGAGATAAAGAAGTTTTCCATAATGGGTCATGTTACTGAGGATCTACGTAGATACATTTGTTGTGTCATACAGAATTGAATACTCACAGTGAAAAAATTAATTTGACCAAATTCAAGTCACATTTGTTACAGATACATATAATCCTCTAGGTGTGTAACTGGGTGCCTCTGAAAGTTACATTATATATATA